TTTGTCTTAAAAATAACAGTTCTCCTTAGCTGACAAGCTCATAAAGAATGTATACTATGAACGCTGCACTTTTAAAAGATTTATCTTTCTGAATGGGATCAAGTTGAAAGCAGCAACAAGGAAAAGCTGATGTTAAATTTGGAGAGTAGTGAGTTAATCGTAATGGTGGTGGAACAACTCAGAATTAAAGGGTGAGAACAGCTGCTCAGCTGAAAAATTGTACTGAGTTGTACATGGATAAAATGTTGATTTGGTATAAGTATTTCTGCATTCTCCTGGAAAATAATAAAAATAAAATGCATTTAAAAAACCATTAAGCAAATAACAGTTCAAGTGTTTGAACTCTAATTCAGTTTCACATACTTTGGGCACATGTCCAGGAGAGACCAGTCTTTGGAGAAAGACATGCTCGGAAGGGTGGACGGACAGCACAGGAGAGAAAGACCCCAAATGAGACGGATTGATACAGTAACTGGGACAATGGGGGATTGGTGTGTCCGGATTAGTGAGACCGGCTCAGGACAGGGCAGGGTTCAGAGCTGTTGTACATAGGGTCACTATGTGTCACCGACATCATATTGGTGGTTTTTTATTTAAGCCTCTTGTTTAGAGTCAACAAGACCTCATGGAAGGCAAGAACATTTTTCTAAGTGGTACAGTTAATTTGCTGTACTGAAGTAACGTGAGGTTGCAGTGCTGCTGAACTCTGTGTCACTAGGGTGTCAAATGCCATAATAGTTACCTATGGTGGACAGTGTTTGGTGAAGCTACCAGTTTAATAAAGGTTTGGAAGCAGAATTGGCATTCACTTTCTAAACCACATGCTCTGGAAACTCTATGAACTTTGAGAAACGAAGACAGTTAAAGAAAGGCTTCAGGGCTTTTGTTCATAGGGTCGCTATGAGTCGTGCTTGAGTCAACAGCAATCAATGACAACAACTTTCCCAGGCTAACTCCCAATATTCTATGTATTCTTCAAATGCGGTTAAATTTTAAATTCCTTTACCATTTTGGGTTTTGCCTCAGCTTGCCTTTACTTTTAAAATATGGTTCCCAGAAATTATTACATTCTAACATCACAGGGCTCAGGAAAGGAAGTGCCACCTCCTTTGTTCAAAAATCACTAGTTGAAGATATTATTTCCTAAGTCAGAATGCTCTCTACCAGAGTGTACACAGCTTTTTTTTTCCAAACTCAGACTGGTCATAAAAATATAAACTTCAAAAAGAAGGAAAAAATTAACCCATCCTTACCCCAAAAACAATGTTTGTGGAATAGAGTGTGGCTATAAGGTGAGATGCAAATGCTTTTTTCCATGGCTTTTATGTTTTTTCAAGGTAAATCTCAACAGTATTAAGTTACATTAAAAAGGCATCTGTCAGGAGCATGGTTGAAGAAAGTAACCAGATGCAATTGTTTAAAAAATTTTAAAAGCCACCCAAACCTAGAAGAGCTATAGAGCTATTCAAGTGGAAAACTAATGCAATAAGCAAGTAAAAAGCTCCTATCTCTAAATCCATTGATTGGGTACTGAGGGGCAGTGGGAGGTACCGGGAAGAAACAAAACTCTTTTCTGATTATAATAAAGTGATACCATATTCATGTGACTTGGTTTATTAAAAAATGTTGTATTTAATCAGAGACCAATTCAAAAGTACTTACAACTGGTATTTATTCAGAATAATTCATTAACAGAAACTTGATGCTGGAATTAGAAGAAAGATGGAATAGCCTAAAGTGTTAAGGAGGCAAGTCATTGATCCAGCACTGTAGGAGTCACCAGTGTTCTCCAAAAGCATATATTCCTGAACAGAAGAAGAAAAAAAATCCAGTTCTCTATTAAACTTCCCACCTCCCTTAAGTAAGTAAACTGTTTAAAAGAAATACTACCAATGCAAAAATTTTATTTTGGTCAGTGGTTTGTAACTTGTTAAATTCTAAAGCAGATCTTGACAAGTAATCAAAACAATTCATTTTACTTTCCCTTTCATTTTCTTGCCACTTTATTCAGGGAGAGATAAGAAAATGTCCTAAAAGACAAGAAAAAGAAAGGCCTCGGAAAGAAAATAGCCTCAGCCAAAGTAAAGCACAGGAAGGATAACTGGCCCTGTATAATTAAAATGAAAAGTTAATATAATTCAACAGATTTAATAAAAGCATACTTCTTTGTGTGCTCTTATTAAATTAAAAGTATGCAAGTAAAAAGCCTTGCAGAGGCAAGGGAGAAAGTGCAAGATCCTTTGAGGATAATCTATACAAAGCCATAATAAAATACTAACATCAGAAAATTACATAATTTTACAGATTCTCCCAAATCTGAGTCTATGACATGAATAGGATGCATCTTCATTGGAAATTGAAGGGGAAATGCCATATATTTAGTAACATAACAGAATCTGGAAGAGAAATGTACTCTAGGAGTCAGACAACAACTATAAAGAAGCAGCTCTCATTTCAGCCACTCTTATTTGGAATTAATTTTTATTTGAAGTAAACTCATCTTGGCAAATACTCCCATAGTAGTAAAAACTATTAGACAAACCAGTATATTTAGATCTTGGCCTGAGCTAAGATGCCTACATTAATTAGTGTCTTTTCTCAAGTACTACTTGAAGTAATTTCTATTTAACCAAAAAAGCTCCTTTTGGTATTAAGTCATTTATTAAATTAACATTTATTGAATATGTACAATATTACTTGGGACTGTTCACAAGCTTGAAATATGTCAGTGAACAAGTATATGTAAAGCCTACTCTAGAATTCACACAACTAAGGAGAAAGAAAGAAGCATTCTTGTGTGTCTCTGCTGGTTGGCCATGGATAGGTTACTAAAGAACTAAGACAGGCTGGGAGAGTAACAAAGGAAAAGTCTATAGCAAAGGTTTCTAATTCCCTTCTGATCCTAGTCAAGCAAGGGTAATGGAAAGAGACTGAGCCCTAAGGAATAAGAATTATAGAACACAAATATGGCCCTTGAAGCTGCTATTTATTTTACAATTCAATTATTCTAATCCAACATTTGCATAGCAACTTCATTTTCAACATTAGAGTCATGCAATATTGAGAACAATTGATATTTGCTCTAAATGAAAGGTAATCTAATATGGGACATTTCCTAACAGTTAAAGGTTTTCTGCTCACCTTATTTTTAGAATACTACTAATTACTGACTTAGTGGAAAGGATAGAGAGGGAAAGGCAAGGATTATTAGAAATGATTTTGGAAAAAAAATTATTTTGGTTTTTATTAAGATGATTTTTTTTTCTTTCCTGGGAAACTGATTCTAAAGAGAACACTATTTAAACTTTGGTATCCCTTTCTCTTTGTTGTTTTTAGGTGCCATCAAATCAACTGCAGCCCACAGCTACCCTATGAGCAACAAACTGAACCTTGTCCTATCCTGCTTCATCCTCTTACCCAAAGACAAATACAGTGAGACCAATGAAAAGTATCTGTCTTTTAGATGCTATGTGTAATCCCCATGTACAAGAAACTGGTAACTCTGAAACCTACTGGAGAAATGTCAAGAGTGTTCTACCAATATCATGTGTCTATATGATTCCTTTCTTTAAAATGGAATCAATTTAAAACATTAACATATCAAGAATGAAATTGTCATCATCTACAACAACAGTGGAATTACATATACCCTTATTCTATCACTCATTTCTTGGTTATGCTAAGCAGCAAACTACAGAAACATCTGACACCATCAACAGCATACAGGCTTAATTATTTCCCCAATTTGCATGTAAATCAGTGAACAAATTAGAAGGTGTCAAAATATGGCATCGAAGAAGTAGTAACATATTCAGCAACATCTCTTCCATTTTGAGTCCTGTTTGAAAATTGGCTAAGTAAAGGCATATATATGTATATCTGAATTGGAGATGATAAAATGCATACAAGAAAGGAAGTGGGATAGAGAGAAAGAGTATAAAAAAGGAGGAAATAGCAGAGACGGGGAAGAAAGAAAACAGGAAAGCATGTATGGTCATGAGAGAGTAACAACATTACTACATGAAGGAAGTAACACAGATAAGCCTGCTTCCACAAGCAGAATTTTTCTCAGGAGTTCACTGAATATACAAAATGGTTTGTGAGACTTTATCTCGTGCTATTCTTACCATTATACTAAAAACATCTATAAAATTCTAAGCCTTGGTCTGTCCAAGATGGATAGTACCAAGAAGTAAAAGATGTCACCTGCTATCAAGGACTGTGCTCTGCTTGAAACCCTGCCCTGCAGTCCATTAAACCACAGTATTTTGGTCAGATCTGGTCTGTTTTCTCATATTACCCAGTATTACCTTTTTTTAAAAAAATTTCATTTACTTAGAGGTCAGTGAAGATTTAAAGAATACAGGGAAAAAAATAATAGTAGCTATTTGAAGGGGAACATGATGGAATAAGTATTCCCTTTTTCAGCAGCTATACCCTAGAAAAGATAGTAATGAGGCTTTGAGAGTAAGTGCTAATTCGTGAACTTCCCCTCCTTTTTTTTTTATTTCTACATAATACATTTAGGGACATCAATGTACTAAAATGTTTGGTCTGAGAAATAGCGAAACCATTAGCACCAAAAGGAGTCATGGAGCTTTGTCTATATTAACAATGATTGTTACTGTTGGCCATAGGTAAAGGTTTCATTTCATATTTAGATAGCAAAGTTCTTGAAAGTGCCTGTGGACAAGAGAAATAATACTTTAAAATCTCCATGGGGGCATCAACACTCACCACAGAGAAAATACTTGGCCTTCCCAGTTTTGGTTTATCTGGTAGACGAGAAAACCAGAGCTCCCAGAAGATTACCACTGAAGCCCTAAAGAACAGCCACACATGCACCCACTGGTGTGCAGGAAGGATTCCTACAGTACATTTCCCCCTAGACTGTTTTCAGGAATGCGCTTTTACTTGCTTTTTAAAAAAATAAAAGCAACATGCTCTGCAGATCATGGAGTGCCTAGCGCAATTTTTGCTTTGCTCTAACTCCAGATTGCAAAAGGGTGAACCCATTTTATGTTCTGCTAATGCTGGCCTGTGGACAAGGCCCTTGACCTGCCATGCTTTGTAAGCTCAGGAGCCCACAGGAGTCAGAAGGTCCGAGAGCAGGAGCCACAGTCATTGCCAGATTGCTCTCGCAATTGGTGGCCCATCAGGGCAGCTGCTGATTCCTTTTTCTTCTTGCCTCAGCCTTTAGTTGAAATTACAACAAGTCAAATAGCTGATGCTTTTCCCTTCTCCAGGTAAGGGTGAGGATACATTGTTCACAAGTGTGTTCTGCCTGGCTTCACTGATGAGTCGACAGGCTAAGTCAAGGAAGAGTTTTTCCACATTGTCAGATTCCTTGGCTGAAGTCTCCAGATAATACATGTCCTGAGCTTCTGAGAATTCTTCAGCTCTCTGCTGAGAGACCTCTCTTTTCTCTGCCAGATCAATCTTGTTGCCTGGAACAGTGGTAAAGGCAAAGGAGAGATCATCATTTGTCTTACTGCAGCCTTAAAAGCATCAAAATTTCATTCCAGATCTAAAGCTAAACAAGATAGATGGGTAAGTAAAAGCAAGGCAAATGAACTGTGATTACTGGCATGTTTATTTTGAAATACCAGTGCCGTTTGTAATAGCAGTGAACTGGAAGCAATCCAAATGTCCATCAATTAGAGACTAACAGAATAAACTATGGTACATGCACACAGCAGAGTTTCTCAGCCAATGCCTTGTGCAATGCAACAAGGAGTATCTTTATACACCATGGAAGGAAAGAACACCAGGGTATAGTAAGTGGGAAAAGCAATAGAAAAAAGTATATATAGTATACACATTTGTATCTAAAAGATAATGAAGATTTTTTTTTTTTTTTTGCAAGGGCAAGAGGGAATTTATTTCAGAAGATAATGAAGATTTTAAGTATGCAATCAGTATTTGCTTTTTTTTAATGAAAGAACCATCCAAGATCTTAATTTAAAATGTAATAATTACTTAGGAAATGAACAGTGTTGAGCTGATAGGAACAGAACCTTAACCTTGTTAAATGTATTCTGTCTTGTAGATTTTACTTGAGGATCCCATAAATGTTTTCTATTTAAATATTGGCATATATAAGTTACACAAATATTTATTACATAAACATATAGAAAAGAATTGCATAATCAATACAAAATTAAACAATCACGTTCTAAAAATGGAAACCATAATTACATAAACCAGTCACAAAAACACAATAATGATAGACGGTCTCTATTACTAAAAGCTAAGCAAAAATTTACACACAGTGGTAACCAATCTTGGAAGGGTAACAGGAATGGGCAAGAAGGGAGAGGGGAGTAATTAGTAAATCTTTACTAAGTTGGACGAGAGGCAAAGCAATGCAAAATAAGGGGTTAATTAGATATAATTAACTAGAACAATTACAATGTTATTAAACAAACTGTCTATAAATGTATAGAAAACCAATATGATTTACAAAAACTTTAACTCAAATAAAAATAGAGAATCTGAACCACTAACCTTTAGGCTAGTGCTAAAGAAACTCATTGCCATGGAGTCAGAACCAACCCATAACTGATCCTCCAGTGGGTTTCTGAGGCTGTAAATTGCAAAGTAGAAGATTGCTAACCTTTATCGTGAGGAGTCACTGGTGGATTCAAAGTATCAAGAGAGGTTTAAGCAGCATCTCTCTCTATGGACTAGGGCACTACAGGTCCTTCTAGGCTAGGAGTCAAGGGCAAATTGTTTGCCCTAGTCAATGACTTTGCATAATACCACACTATTTCAAGTAACTTTAAGGTATGATCATTTAACCATTAATATCTAATAGCATATACTTTGAGAACAAAAAAGATTGTAGGGAAAAATCTTGAATTGTTTCAGTTATCTTATTGGCAGTGGTGTAGTAGTGGTTGTAGTATTGTTATTCAGAACCTGTCATTTTTATATTGTGTGATAAAGTAAATAACTAGGCTGATATCATTGGGAATATAATTTTTTTTCTTTATTTTATAATTTTTTTATGGAGGGGGAAATAAGTGCAAGTATAAGATTAATTGAGGTTAAGTAAAATTTACAGTCCTGAATTCTAAATGGAAGTATCAGTGTGAATAATTAATAATGTATTTTTGTTTCATTTTCTATTTCTCTTGCCCTGAAAACCTGACAAAAGTGTTATGTCACCTGTGTTACTTGGCAACAATGCTTATGGTAAAAATGACACCTGACGCGTTAATTACATCTAGCCCAGAAATTCTATGTATAAACTATAAATAGCTGAAGGGAAGCCACAACATTGAGCTCCTCTGCATGCAGGGACTCTTCACTTGGACAACCCTGCAAGTTGTGCCTGTGGAGTTGCTATAAGAAATACTGGCTCCAAGGGGCATTGAGGCTTCTAGACCAGGGCAGATCCTGCATTTGTCTGAAGTGAGCTTTGTTCTTTCACATCTGATGTATCAAAAAGAGGTGGGGCGGTGGGGGAGGAGGGTGAAGAGCTCCTGGGAAGCTCTGCAGACTACTATTGTACTCAAGAGGAATATCTAATTCTGACCTGCTGGCAGGTAGTGTTTTCTATCCTATATTGTTCTAAGTGAAGATGATACCAAGAGTAACCTATAGGAGTCTTATGAATAAGAATGGATAGGAGAACCTAATAATACAATTATGAATGCTACATAATTCACCACACGCACATACAAATATATACACACATACATACTAGCTCTGTTTACTAAACAAAATTATCAACTCAGTGGCATTGAGCATTCCTAACACTTGGACTGTGGCTTCTAAACACTGTTG